CAATGTATCATTCGGGTTATTTTGCTAGATATTGGACTTTTTCTAAAAATCGTAACAACTAGCCCCGGTCTCCCCTACATTATGTTCTTCAAAATATGAAATTTTGGCATATTAGAAATCATTTGTAAGCAGCAGAGTGTGTAACACTTATTTTAAATGTCACTGACTGTTTTTTCTTTTCTATGAAATAAATCTAAAATAATTTACTTCAGTACCATATACATATATACTCATTATACAGGTTTATTAGCATCCTCCAAGAAATATTTACCTTTCTGTGCAAGCAACTAACAATGTGAAAAAAAAAATGTTTATCATGCTTTCAACATGCTGCTATTTACAGAAAAGCAGATAATTTAGGGAACTTTTCAGAAGCTTCAAAACCAAGATTATTTCTCTGAATCATCATTTAAATCATTACTACGTCTACTCCTTTAAACACATAGTAAACTGTCCACTGCTTTAAAGAGAGAGTAAACTGTCTACTACTTTAAACACAGAACAAACTTGCTACTGCTTCAAACACACAAAACTGTCCACTGTTTTAAACACATAACAAATTGTCAACAATTTCATTAGAGAGATAATTGTCCAATACTGCTACTGTACGTAAAACAAATCTATTTTAAAAGATGTGTTTAGTAACTGCTACTTTTATTACATACATATTAAAACTGGTACAAACAAGTTTATCTTGTTTTTAACCATGTTACTTCATACATTACTATACTAAACTGACTAATGAAATATGGTATTGCCACTACGTGTTCACCCAAGTGATGAAGACTGACAAAAGTAGTTCCATGTGTTACATTTAAACAGATTGGGTAGGCTCAGGGATCTTAGCACACACTGACTGAACTTAGTCTTTCAAATCCCATAGTGAAATGCTGTACATTACTGTATTATTATATATCTATTAGCAACATATCTCCATATGATCTATCTTCTAGGCTGCCATACTGCCAGATTATGTAAGCAATAAACAATGGATGTGTGGCTATGTAAGAAAACAGTGACCACAATAAAACATTATAACTTGTCCTGGAAGTAACATGGCTAGACAAATGTTACATTCTATTATATTTTGGTTGTCAACAAAACTTACAAACTTGTCCCAGCCCTGTTGACATTTAATCACAGATGTTTATTTTACAAATGAAGTATGCTGTGTGAAAATTATTGTTTGCCCCCCCCCTCAACCCTACCCCTATATGAATGTCCCCCCAACCCTTTTAATAACTAAGTAAGTGTTATAGTTCCATATCTTTTGTTTCATAATCAGAGAAATCACTCATTGAGCTTTCACTACTGGAAGAGTCATCGTCTTGTTTCCTCAGAGCTTCTTCTGTTGCAAATTTCCTGACATAATCTGTAACAGAAAATGAATTCAGGTTATAATTTATCTATCTATATACTACTAAAACTCTGAGATTGTTTGTTTGTTAGCTTGTCTGTAATTAAATACAGCAAAAACGGTGCACAATAGTGCCATATTTGTAATGAAATGAGAATAGAAACAGAATAAAACAAGTTTAGTTAAAATCGGGACACGGGTTACTGAGTTAGCGCCATTTTTCAGGTCACTTTTATGAAGATTTCTAGCATGAGTAATTTTACATTACACTACCATTCGCTCTCTTTACGAAACTTCATCGAGCCATGGGTTACTGAGTTAGCGCCGTTTTTTGGGTCACTTTTATGAAAATTTCTAGCATGAGTAATTTTACATCACAATTACGTTTGCGCTCTTTATGAAACTTCTTCGTTCAAATCTATTTCCCTGTCAATGTTCCCATCTTCATTAAAAGGCGCAAGATGACAAAAACAAGATCTTGAAGAATTTCTCAATAATGTGTCTTGGTTATGGTAGGTAATTTGAAGAAAAAATGTAAGTGCTACTGTTTCTTATTTGTAGAAGTTTTACGAGGAAAGCCCACAACATAATGAACTAATTCATCACAATACCTG